CGTGTCGATTGGAAAGTAGTCAAAATGTATGCTGTTGATAGGTGTACAATACACACATTTTGTTTTAATGTTGCAATTCCTATACTGACCTATTATGACGGTGACGCCAGTAGTTCTTTCCACAGTTGTAGTAAAGAATGGTGTCATTGTAGTTTCAACTGATGATGTTGTAATAACAGATGATGAAGTACTTATCTCTTGGGTAGTAGTAGCACTGACTGTTGTTGTATTGAATGGCACTGTGTAAATAGAAGTCAATAGAATTTAGAAATATGGCAAATTTGTTCTGGGGATGATTGTAAAGTACACCAATTTGCTTTGATACTCGATTTAATACAATATATTCACGGTTTTTTTTTTCTCTTGTATTCTGTTAACAAAGTAACGTTATTGTAGAATAGGGGTGAGTATTCAAATCTTGAAAATACATTCTCGACGATAAATTGTCCTTAAATAGGTTTAAATAAGACACAACACGATATCGACTATTTATCAATTATATAATATTACCAGACACAATTTTTCCAATCACTCTCGATTGTGTTTAATGTGTTTTATATTGTTTCATTGTGTTGAACTGAAGAAGTTGGATACTGTTCATGATATGTGTATGATATGTGTACTTCAGTTTTTCTTGCGAATCATTGCATTTCGAATTATGAAGGTTGTCATTCATCAAACAGAATCATTTGGTATGTATAGGTTGTATAAAAGTAATTACTACGCACAGTTTCCTCAAATAAACGATTCGCAATAAAATAACGAGACCACCCTGAAAGAACAGCTCATCTGTCGTTTCGTCGCCTTTGACTTCCACTTACATTAAGCATGAAGCTGTTTGGTTATTGTGGATTAAAAACATGTATATACCACAGTTTTATTACGGAAATCAGCAGCAGCTCATAAACCCTGCGACGTGCGTCAAAATTTAATAAATCATTCAATGTGCGTTTGATTAAATGGTAAACAAGGCAAAAACACGTACGTGAAGTTGATGATTCAGAAGTGGTCGATAAAGCAGTAGTCGGAGCTTGTGTTGAAGTGCTTTCGAACTTGGTAGTTTGTAGAGTAGTTTCGCCTTCAATTGTTGTTGCAACTTGAGTAATTTCAGTACTTGATGTTGTTGGTTGGCTGCTAACAGTAGGTACAGATGAAGATTCAACTACAGTGGTTATCATCGTTGATGATGGAGTTGTCATCTCTGTAATATAAAGACAAATATATATCACTGAAACACATTCTAGGTTTTCATAATTTTCTGCAAAAAATTCGCTATAGCTACAAATGCCGATATGTTCATTGTTGATAACATGATATAGACATCATGACAATAGAGTGGAAGGCCAACTCTCGTCAGTGGAGAACGCCTCATGATATTGCCACATTGTTCGTTGTCTATTAGACAAGGTCACGTGACAACAGTCTTAGGTGAAAGGGCAAATTACAGTGTATTGAACTTAAAATAAGTATAAAAATGGCAATTTGAATTCAATTACGAATACAATTTAAACTATGAAGTACAATATAAATTTATTTTCAAAGAAACGTGGAATTTCTATTAATATATATATATATATATATATATATATATATATATATATATATATATATATATACAGTGGCAATACTAAAATATATGTGGCCCTCCTCCGTTGTTGTATATATTTTTCCGGAACAGATATAGAGAAGTATTAGTTACAATTTCAACAGGACAGGTTATTACTTGTTTAAAAAAGGAATTCTATCTTTGTTGTAGATATTTAGCCACGTATTGTTATTTAAAAACATCTTATTTCTTAGTCTTATCTTATCTTAGTTATCATTCATGTATCACATATAACTCACCTGTGCTTAACTGTGAAGTTGTAGATGTCTCTCCAGTAGTGGGCCACATTGTATTTTCTTCTGTTGTTTTCTTAACGGTAGTGGTGTAAAATGGTGTTGACGTAGTTTCAATAGTGGACGATGTAACTACAGACGATGCCGTGCTTACTTGTTCTGTCGTTGTTGACGTCAATATTGTTGTTGTATTACCTTCTGTGAACAATAGCGTAATATCTCATTATAATAAAAATGAATTACGTATTCGTAAAACGTACAATAATTGTTGAATGACACTTTATAATATATGGCCAGCATTTGTTCACACAATTATATGTCCCCGTTTCTGAAAGTTAGCTCATATTATCCCTTAACATGTCATCTTTGAAAAAGTATCACAGAATTCACATTATGCATTACCATTTAAATTTAAGATATAAACATCATATACTGATAATCTGAAGGAATAACATTTGCATAATATTGACATTAAATAAACTGACTTTTTCTAATTACCTATACATATAATATTCATATGATAACCTACCTAATGTCGTCGTTGTTCCCACTTCATTGGCTGAAAAAGGGACAGCAATATTGTAAGTTAATTTTAACAAAAATGTGATTGTTAAACTATGGTAATTATCATTAATCCTCAAGTATTCGGTCGATTATATTGTGTTAATTTTCTACTTCGATCAAGTCTTATTGACAACAGTGCCTCTCTTAATGTATTTTTATTTTGGGGAGATAAAGGAAAGCAAAAATATAGTGCAATTAAAACTTGTTTATGTTCAGATAAGGAACATACTGCATCAATGTACCATTACTAATAATAATATTACCATTATTAGGCAATATA